AAGACAGGTGTGGTTAAAATTTAGAGAAAGGTATAAAAACTGTGAGATTGTGAAATATAAGTGAATGCATTGCTATTATTTCCTGGCAGAGTGAAGAGGAGGTGGACAGGGAAGCTGGCACTACGTGCCCCCCAAGGAAGGAGCTACCATGGGCAAGGGGGGCCAGAATGGAGAGGAGTGCAGCTCCGGGTGCGTCAAGTCGGATCCTCGGTACGGTTGGGAAGAAATCCAGAAACACAACACAAGGACTGATAAGTGGCTAGTGATAGACCGCAAAGTCTACAACATCAGTGACTGGGTGAAGAGGCATCCTGGGGGCTTGAGAGTTATCAGCCACTTCGCCGGCGAAGATGCCTCGGTGAGTCCTGGGGCCACCTGCCGGTTTTTCATTTATTTTTATTTTTCCCCTGACCTGCAGAGCTAGCAATCATACAGCTGTATTTAGTTGATTCTCCTCTCACAAGAATAATTTACACCAAGGGAAGAAATCTGGCTTTTTGTGTTTCAAATCCTTTATTACAATAGATGAGAAAAAAAAATTAAAATAAGAAGATCCAAACACATTTGTTTAAATTATATTTTAATTCAGGGAGATATAATGTCCCATCGTATAAACCTCCAATAATAGTAGAACGACCCATCCGTGCAAAATCGGGTGTTGTTTGTGTGCAGGCATGCCAGGTAACAATGCAATGTACAAGGCACAGAGCTCGCTGCAGGTCTTACTATGGTGGAATATTGTTTGTATTGGGTTACAAAAAAATCGGTTTACTGTTTACATTTCAATATTATAAATCATGTTTTTATATTAGCAGGAAAGAAGGAAATACGTTTCTGTAAATGTTTTTAGTGGGAAACACCAAATAGCAAACGCTTTACAAATGTGACCTGTCAAATAATGTCATAAGTTATAGTGAAATCTCTTATCATCTATAGCTGGCTGTACACTAGAAGAGTCCATGTTGCTCGTGTATACATGTCGCCATCAGAAGTCATATATGTACATGCAAATTTGGATTTTGGTTATGGAATGTGTAGGTGGACGGCTCTCAAAGGATTTGTCAGCCCGAGTGTACCTGTTGTTAAGTAACAGTACAAAGAGTAGTGAGCTGCTGTACACTATCCTGGCCAATCACATTGGTTACCGAGTATGATTGTTCATTATGCTAATATTTCCTTAAACACATTGCTAAAAGCAGAATTAAAAATTGAGTCTTGAAAGGCATAGCAGTTTACTGCCCTATTCCCTTCAAGATTATTTTATTGGTCATCTGAGAACCCCTGCTTGTGATGCATAGAAAGGTGTTCAAGAACACACCCAATGTAGTCTGATTGCTCACAAAGCAGAAAGCTCAGTGTAAAAAAAAGTCAGTGGTGACAAGATTCTCTCAATCACCAATCAGATTCAACCTGCACTGTAGGACTGAATGTGACTAGCCATACAGGAAGCGGAGAGAGAAAGTTACACAGTACCGATTTCAGGATGTATATCCTATTGACCCTGTAAGGTGCTCTCTGGATTCTTGTTGCAGTGTGTTGTCTGTAACTAGAAATAAAGATTAAGTCCGATTAATATTGTCTAAATACAAGAGCCATGTGTATTCATACTTGAATCTTGTTATGCATTTTTGTATTTCTTCCAGATCTGTGCAGTAATCAAACGTAAAACGTTGCCTCTGTGCAGGAGCTTCCTGTAATAAAGACCGGTCACTGGTGCTCCCTCTGCTTGTGCAGGGTAACTGGTCTTGTATCCGCCCCCTCCTGTAGTTTTCTGCAGGCAGCCTGTAGTGGGTGGAGCCTGCTGGGTCCCTCCCACAGCTTTGCTCGGCTATGTGCTGCACAGTAATGATGTCATTGCTATTTTTACAAGGCATTTTGGTGCACACAAAGTTGATTTAAATCCTTTGTGGTTATTGAGGAATATATTAAAATTAAACTTTTTGTGCCTGGAGTTCAACTGTAAAGTAAACCGTGTGAATGCTCCAGTGTTTGCTTTTAATTCCAAGTTGAAATGAGCATACCCCAACTTCATACTTTCAACACTCTAAAGAGTCCCAGTACTACCCCACTGCCATGATGGGAGAGGTCACTGGATCGGACTGGGCTTTCTTGGACCTGTTTAGAATGTCTTTGTAAATATTGTTAAAATATGTTGTGCTTGAGAACAATATGCAGTAATCTGAGATGGCAAACGGGCAGAAGAATGACAAAAACAAAGACGTCCTCTTATAACTACTAGAATTAAACAAATGTATGTCTATAGGAAAAGTTTATGCGGCCTAACATTGTTTGCATGTTTAATTTCATATAGGGCTAGTTTACACCAACCACAGTGCGTTCCGGCCTAATTAGGCCGGAACGCACTGGATCGCATTCCGGTCGGCTCGCTTTGTTGTGGGGTGGGAGGCGTGGTGGCGCATTGAAGTGAATGGCACCGCAGCCACGCCCTCCAGCCGCACGGGAACTCATGGCACATCAATCCATGCGTTCCAGTCCGGTCAGAAAAATTGCAATTGCAGCAATTTTTCTGACCGGAACGCAGGCATCAATGTGCCTTGCTTTTATCCGTGCGGCCGATCTCATTGCAACCAGAGGGCGTGGCTACAGTGCCATTGAGGCTGATGTGAACTAGCCCTTAAAAAAGAAGAAATTAAATGTATATTAATGGATAGCCGGTGTCACCCAGTGTGTCCATACACCTACAGTCTATCAGACACACACCAACCTGGTGCATTGCATTCACATTCTGATGTCTTTATCATTGCAATAAATAAAAGAATATATAAGCATTGTATCTGTGCCTGTGAATGGGGATTTCATGCTGAAGCATTTTTTTAGAATGAAATTGAGTTTATTTTGAGATGACAAATTACACGGCATGACCGGTGATGTGCTGAAGGCTGACCAGTGCTGCAATGAGTAATGGCTTCTGCCTGGTGTGGTTACTTACAGTAAGGAGATTCATGTGTTCACATTGCTGACATGCCTCTTCTTTTCAAACTCTCATCCACAGAGGACTGCAGAGTATTCAGACCTGGATATTGAACTAATCCATCTGTGTCAATGGATTAGAGATTAGGGGACTCTAGAGCAGCCTTTCTCAAACTTTTTACCCCAGGGGAACCCCTAAATGAATTCTTAGGTCTCAGGGAACCCTTACTAAAACCAAAGAGGGTCAATGGGAAAAAATGCCTTTTACATTGGTGGTCAGTAGGAGGAATTCAACTCTTAACCTGGTGGTCACGCTGCCATCTTTACAGATAGATAACCAGATCATTGATATCGTGCTGCTGCCTTTGCCAAGTAGCATTGGCCTTGGTACTGTGTTGGCACCATCAAATGAGAGGTCAATCAGCCACAGTTTAAAGTGATACTAAATGCTAGGCTATGTTTACTTTATTGTATTCTCTGCAATGAAGAAGAACTCCAGGCAAAACTTGTATTAACCCTTGCAGTGGGGCTACTCCCGCACTGCAAGGGTTAACTGCTCGTTTTTGTCTAAGTGCTAAAAAAACAAAAAGGTTATGCTTACCAGGACTGCTGAGCCAGCTATCTGATTTTCCGGTCCCTGAAGCCTCTCTTCTCCTCCTACTCTGTACCGCTAGAATGTTCCTCGCCGTCCTCACGCCTATACACAGTGTATAGAATGTGATGATTTACAGAACCTTAGAGCACTACAGAGGAGGGGGAAAGGGGCGGGAAGGACCAGTTTAAGAGAAAGCTGGCTCCGTGGTTCAGGCGAGTATAACTTTTTTTTTAGCATCTAGACAAAAACAAGTACTTAACGCTTGCAGTGCGTGGGTAGCCCCACTGCAAGGGTTAATAAAAGTTTTGGCCAGAGTCCTTCTTTAAGGTAAAAGACATCCAGTACCTTTTTATGCCCCCCTCCCCGTCCCCAAACACCTATGGTCCTTTGTCACGGACATTGGATCCAGGAAGATCTGCGTCAATCCACTGAGATTCCAGGTTGTGGAGGAGAGTGCTGGGGGCAGTGGAGTGATAGGCTCCTGTTGCCATCTATCAAATTGTTGGGAGGAGGGCAGTGGAGGGATCAGGGGCGTGGCTTGTCTATAGACGAACACAGCTGGGTGCGAGTAACAGCCGGGAACACGCATGCATGAGTGTCTTCTCAGCAGTCAGCTAGCTAAAGGAGACACCCACAAACAGGTAGGGGGGCCAGCGGTTTGGGGGCCGGCTGGAGGAGGAGAAAAGGGACCATTTTTAAGAAAAAGAATCAGATAAAGCAAGTGAGAACCTCATCTAAAAAAAAAAAAATCCCTGTCCTTCCATCTGGAGGGGGGCTACTTTTGTTCCCCATGGTCCCTGTGTGTGTTGTAAAGTAGTCACCGCTCCAAACTCACTCCTGTGATAGACTATAATATCAATACAAATTAGTAAACTAAACATGCGATTGTAGTCCATCACAGGAGTGAGCTTGGTGCGGTGGCTACTGTACAACACACACCCGGACCATGGGGAACAAAAGTAGACCCCCTCCAGAAGGAAGGACAGTGTCAGCACCAATTCAGAGATGATTTGAGTATCTACAGCCGAGTGATACACAAATAAGATACATTTTCGGTAATAGTTAAGGTACTTGAATGCATTTTTAAGATTTAACTCCTGAGTTTAGTGTCACTTTAATTAGGGATGCACCGATATCGATACTTGTATCGGTATCAGTGCCGATACCGAATATTTGGGTACTCGCCCAAATGGTCCCGATGACTATCCTGATGCCGGAACGTCCAGTATCGGGAAGTCAAAACTACGGGTATCGTGCATCCCTTACTTTCATGGGAAAAGATCAAAGGTGATCATTTCAGGATCGACTGGGTGCTCCGTACAACTTACGATCTGCTTGAAAACAAGAATTTCCCGATGCATAGACCCACTTCCATCTGTGATTCAATCCTGTAGACAATGTTTAAAGATTGACCGAAGATTGGTCACAGCTGGGTGGCAATCGCTCAGGAAATAATCAATAGTTTGTAAGATTTGGTCACTATTAGTTTCATTGAACAAACAGAATGACACGTGTATAGCCAACATTAGCATGAGCAGTCCCCACCATTCTCCTGTGTGGTGAATGCAGCCTTTCTTGGGTATACAGCACTATAGCGTGGATCATTGAACCCAAACTACAGCAATCAATGTACAGCATATGAGTACTGCAGTCATTAAACATATACACAGTTAGAATTTCATTGAAAATAATCGTTTTCAGAATATTCATTCCATTGTCTAATGGTAAATGGGGTCCAATCAACGATTGTTTTGACAGAAGTGATTCCAAAAACGGAAGGAGCAGGATGGAAACTTTGTTCTCAAACGAACGCAATTCTTACAGTGAATGTGATTTTCGTTCGGGAAACTCCATTAATTCCAAAATCGAATGTTAGGATCAAGCGAAATTTCAAACAACATTCATCAAGTGTCTGATGGCATCCTAGAATAATATAGAGGAGAGAGCAAGGAGAGGCAGCCAGGAGAGGGAGTAAGGAGTTATAGAGGACTACAAATCCCAGCAATACATTATACAGCAATGCTACTTAATATGAAGCTACATACTTTGTGTTGTTCTGGGTTTGCACCCTGTTGTCTGCAGGTGTCCTGGTGGCCAGTGCAGGCTCTCAGGTGGGCTGTGCAACTCCCAGGTGGGCTGTCTGGGCTATGGTGTCTCACCAGGGGTCTGCAGGCGGGCAGCACGGTGTCAGGGAGCTGGAGGAGGAGAAGGAGGAGCAATCACAGATGCTGCCGCTGAGGTCCCCTTGCAAATGCGATCTCGGCCAGGCGCAACTGCCTGGAACCCGGATCTTACTCTGAGCTGCGGGCGCCTATAATCAGGCACAGGCTGCCCGCAGCTCAGAGGAAGATGCGGTTTCAGGCAGATGCGGCTGCCCGAGATCGTGCTTACCGAGGACCTTGACAGCCGCATCTGCCAGAAAATGTAAAGTGCCAGTGTCGGCACTGAGTGTCTTGTGACCGGGTGCCCGCTGGCTGGACACCCGGACACAAGACTCCAAAACCGGACTGTCCAGGTGAAAACCAGACGGGTGGCAAAATTCTAACCTTGTGTATCACACTTCTTAGATGACAATCTGTCGACATAAAATGTAATCCTGCACAAACTAAATGCCCCAGAGCACTGGCAGCATTCTCCATAGGCATATGCCTGACTGCACCATACCCATTGCTTTAAGTAAATACAGGCTGGGGAGTTTGCATTGTGTATTTCACTGGGAATATGTGTGATCAGCATTCAGAACTAGACACACAATGTCTGTATGCCGTATTACACTCTGAATGGTTCTACGTCTGTCTGAATCTGATTGTACGTGTCATTGCGTGCACTTTTGTTGTGACATTACAATTAGACACCAGATCCTATGATCGTTGTGTATGTACAGTATATATGTGTACTTTTTTGCTTCTGGGTATCTGTGTGGTCGGCTTCTGTCTCATTACAGGGCGCAAATCGTGTGCCTTAATCGTATAAGAAAATTAGAAACAGTGCCATAAAGGGTTTCTGAGGGCTGTCTCGTCTGTTAGAGACATCTGGTCATGTCTGCCTGTAGGAGGGGTCCAAATAAAGCAGCGCTGTGATTGGAGGAGAGCCTTCTGCTGATGCTCATTGAGAACAAGGGACGCAGGGAGATGCTAAAACGAGGTTACTGCAGTTCACAGCAGAGCAGGCAACTGGCGGTCAGGCGCAGTCAAGGAAACCATTACTGAGCATGATTAGAATTGAGCAGATAATATCTGATATCAGTGAAACACTCACATACCACAATATACAATTACATTAACATATTGCATATAATATATATATATA